GGCTTACACAAAAAATTGGGCTTTAGCCCTGCAGTCTTCTCTAGATAATTCTAGCTGTGTCGGAAACACGGAGTAATTGAAGGATCTGATCTCGTTTGACTTGATGCGATAATAGTCAGAGGATTCGAAAGAAGCAGCAGATACTAACTACCACAATAGTAGTTCCTTTTTCTGTAGGCTCACTGTGAGAGTCAGATTTTATAGTCACCTGCACGTTGGACTACTTTGCCTTTTTACTTCCCTTCAATCTGTTTTTAAGCTGGTACAGGAATGCTAAAATTGCAACATGCATTTAAAGTGAACTTCACTGTCTCACTTAAACTAGCGTCTCCAAAGTAGGCCTGGTGAAGAGAGACTCCTGCCCTGCCCAGGTTTCCCCTTACCTCTGGAGAAGGAGAGACCACCGCCCAGGGCTCCTCAAGCATCAGACGCTGTTCTGCTTCAGCTCTTTCCGAAAGAGAAACTGAAGCATTTACCACCTCCTAGCTTCCTCCATCTCAGAGGTTGTAATTTCTCAACTCACGACCATTTAGGTGGAACTGTCCTTTGTACCACGGCCTTCAGAAGATCTCAGCTTCGCTTTAATGCTTTGAACGTCTAAACCACCCATTCAGTGCTGGTATCAATCATGCAGAACATGACTTCCTTGTTCCCTTCTCCCCAAACTGTAGACGGGTCATTACATTTCTTTTCAGAGACAAAGCTATGCTTTGAGGCAGATGAATATGTATCCGAGATAATGACCTTCTAAAAAAACACAGTGGTGTCTGACAGCTCCGGGGAAGTTGAACAAGACTTGCCTCCAGCAAGCTGACGTGGCGGTGCTGTACAAGCTCAGCAGTTGCCCAAGGAGCAGAGTATAATGCACGGCTTCAGAAGTGGCAGGAAGATAAGGATAACACCCTGCAGATGGCAGGGAACACTAATCCTACAAACTGAAGGGATACAAGCACACAAAATAAAATTGATCAGCTATACCATATTAAGTTCTGGCACAGACATTCGTTTGGAGGCTTATAAATAAATCCTTCAATTAATTCAAGTTAATCTTCCTTGCTGCCCTGAAAGTTACAGACGTTATCAACAGTAAACAAATTTGCTAAATTTTGACAAAAACGTTCACGATATCAGGATTCAAAATAATAATAAAAAAAGGACCAAGAAATTCTAGAACAGACAGTGCTGGGAGGAAAGTGCGGACTCTTTGGGTACCAAGCAGAGGTGCAGAATTGCAAAGACATAACACAGAAAACCCAATGCACTTTTTTTTTTAAGCTTTTTCTAGTAAATTTAATAATAGTCCATTTCAGAAAGGATAAGGCTTTACCTATATTACTATCCAGAAACCAATGAAAGAGTTCTCTTAAATTACGGGGAGATCAACTCATTGTAGTAAACTGCAATAATACATACTTAGTTTAAAGCACCTCATACATTAAAAAAAATTTAAAAAATGTCTTCACCAAAAGAGTGGTTAAACATTGGAACAGGCTGCCCAGGGAAGCGGTTGAGTCACCATCCCTGGAAGTATTTAAAAGACGTGCAGATGCAGCACTTAGGGACGTGGTTTAGTGGGCATGAGGGTGTTGGGTTCGATGATCTTAGAGGCCTTTTCCAACCTTAATGATTCTATGATTACCAAAAGATAAACTACAAAAGCATTTTGAGGGACAAATCAAGAGACTGAGCAGCTCAAACAGTCACATAGCGCAGTTCTGCCATGGGACCTAGATCTAGGGCTAGCACAGAGGCATCTGAGTAATCACACTGTGGACTATGGCAAGATGCTACGAGCAGTGACTGCTGGAAGCAGGGGCAGATCACTGCCTTTGTGTAACAGAGCCGAAATGCCGAAATCCCAGACTTGTGCTGTTTCTTGTCTGTAAACTAATCTTTTGTTTTGCCTAAGTCAGAGGATTTTCAAAGGAAGGTTAGGTACAGAACTCCTCTGTAGAAGGCAGAACAGTCTCCCGCTGTAGACCACAGAAATGAGCCCAGCGAGATGCCATGACTAAGCTATTATGAATGCGTAAGATACACTGAAAACAGTTTTGGATGTGTGAAAGATTTTGATAACGTTGCTGAAAAATGCAGTGATGCCTCAGTTGGAAGCTTGCATTGTCGGCTGTCTGACAACTGCCTCGGAGGGCAGAGCCCAGAGCAGACAATGTCTAGACCTTCCTATTCTCAGCCTCAAATTTGTCACTTTATGACACTGGTTATCATCTCAAACATGAAGAACTTAACAGCACAGCAGGAAGGAAACAGGCTGAAGAAACTTCCACTTCTTGTTAATTCAAGCAGCATCAGAGGATGGCCTGCCCGATCTTTCGGTACCAGTAGCTGAGAGCCAATTTTGTGACCTTCCTTGCCAACGATGGAAAGCCGGCAGCTCTTTACTGGCTTAAGTTCTGGACTGCACCAGCAGAGCAGGAGACATCCTTCTGATTCTCTTTCCTCCTGTAAGTGGATACAGCAACAGCTGCTCAGAAGACTGCCACCTGAGTCAAATATAACATGCAGGTCACTAGGTTAGCAAACCTGCCTCAGAGGCATTCACGGGAAGCGTGATCACTGATCTGGGGCTTCCAGAACTGAAGCCTACAGAACCTGATGCACAGTGCTGGGCAGGTCACTGGAACCCCTTATCTCACCCATTAAAAAGAAAAACAAAAAACCCACACAAGAACCCAGCTCCGTTCCTCCCCATTTGTCGCTTCAGGTTCTGCCTTGAGGACCTTTTCTCTCTGCCCCGCTACAAGCCTACCATGAAAGCATGCTGCAGGAGACATCCTGATGTTGAGTAGGTGACCGTGCGTAACACAAGTGCTTCTGTCAGCAGCAGAGCCAGAGACTCCAGGTCTCACAGGTATCCTGCTCCTACCACTGAGCCGTGGTATTTTTATAGTGTTTTAAGGCCTCCACCTATATGAAGAAACTCAGAGGAAGTTGGTCAATGGGTTTCAGAGCTCCCGTGGCCAAGAACAGGAAGGGCACTGACTGCCCGAGAGGCAGCTCGGACAAGTGCGCGTGGGTTAGGAAGTGGGCCGAAGACAAGCGCGTACGTGTTTCACAAGGCAGTCTAAAAGTGGTTTAAACAAAAGTGCATACCCATTTTAATTTGTTATGGCTGCACATCAAAAAAGGCAGAAAGCTCAAAAACAATTTAAGAACCTCTCAAAAACCTGTAACGATATCAGGAACACAAAGTCACGGTCATCTGGGGCTTCTCCTAAATAACTTTGCAAGGAATGTCAGGAAAATTAAGATTAAACTGTTTTAATAAGTATATTTAGATACTATTTCACCAAATGTACCAGAGGGGTAAAGCTCTAAAGAGAAAAAAAAACACCTTACCTGTTGTTCAATTTTTTTAAAAATCTTTCACTCCAGGACTGATACATTGACAAGAGTTTGAGTGCAAACACACACATCATTCTTCATTCACCATTAGGTGAACGTTTTTAAAAGCAGTGAAGAACTCCAAGCTTTCTTCGTGCCACCTTTTCTAAAAGCCTTGCTTTTAGAAAAAAGAGCATCAGCGTATCTGCTGGATTTTCTTTTTCAGCATCACTGTCTAGCACGTCCCGCTGTCTACAGGAAGGTATAAAATACACAGGAATGGCACAGCCTTCTGGCATGTAGTTCACCAAGTGTCCTCTTAACCTGTGATTCAAGCTATATTAATATATCAGTTTGCGCACATGCGCTGAAGCAAGCAATCCAAAAAGCCACACCAATACTTCCAATCAAGATGTCCTCAACTCTGGTCCTTCTCCTCATGTCCAGCAAAACACTCAGCTTTCAGAAACTTAAAGCAAAAGTGAAGCGCTTCCTACAGCAAAAAAGCCTTAGAAAGGGAGAAGAACTACAGTTGCAAGTGTTTTGCAGGCTTAGAAACAACTACTTCTCCAAGGAAAAGGATGGATTTCTTGTCACTGATCACGGCAACTTGCTGAACCCCCATTAATAAACGACGAGCAATACCTCAGCCCAGACTTTGAGCCAGCAAGCATCCCTACCAAATGGGCAAAACCTGCCAGATACACAAAGGTGCCATGACAGAGTTGGGTAAGCGTCTAAAGCACAAGCTTGGCCACAAGAGTGGCAGATCGAGGCACCAGATCATTACAAGCACAGCTGAAGAGAGATCATGATGCACTGGTCAGTCACACAACCTCACGAGTCATGCGTGAACATTTGACTTATGTTAGACCCCAGCGACACGATGAAGAATAGAAAAGGAAACAAAGACCCTTCTGGCACAGCCGCTGCCACGCCACACCAACTTTACAGTCACCGCGTACCAACCAGGAAGGGAAAACAAAATACATTGTCAGGACACAAGGAAACACAAAGCACAAAATGACACAACACAATTCTAATGAGATACTTGAAAGACAATGAATCCCAGCACAGCACCTCTGCCTGCACCGCTTTAAAGCAAGGAATAAATTCGAAGTCTACTGAGCAATCATAAGCTCAGGAGAGGAAAAAAAACCCAAACCCCAAAACCAAACAGTTTAAAATGCTGAACACAACATACTGAGAATGGAGCAGAACGGGCTGAACTTCATGACAGTAGCTTGCCTTCAATTTACTACAAGGTGATAGCATTTTAACTTGCTGCCTCATGTCGAGAGGGAAACCTAACAGTGCACGTGATGAGCTCTGCTCCATGTTGTGAGGATACCACCACATTACCTAAGTGATTTAAAGAGACCAATAGGAGACATTTCAAAATACAACACGTTATCAGCTAGTGGAGATATTGATGTGAAAGGAAGTTTGAACAAAGAAGCCTAAAGAGTAACAGGCCCGTAAGTATTCCATGCCAAATCGCCACCTTTATCACTAACTTATTGCTTAGGCTACTAAATATCTCCCTTTTATTCCTTGATTTCAACAAACAAGCAAAAAGCTTGAGGGAAACGGACTTTGATATCACCTGACAGGCAGAGTATGAGAGATGTCCTGCTTTATAGGAGGGAACCAAAATATTGTAAGTGATCTATTTCAGCCCATCCGTGAGGCTCACGGAAGATGAAACACGCTGAGAGCCAAGACCTCCGATGTGAAGATACTGAAAACTTACCAAGGAAGAGCGCTGAGAAGTTGCGCAGAAAACCATCACACCCCTTCTAAGAGAAAAAATGAGCATTAAGGAAAGCACAGAACAAGATAACAGTGAGATTAAGGGAGCCACTGAGTGACCACTGAGTGACCACTGAATTTCAAGGCCAGAGAGTAGGATACCAGAGTGGCTAACATGAAGCCTTGCAGTCGAGCTCCACGTATAGGAGGCTGAAGGTAAACAAAAAGGGAAATTAAAGACTTGAAGGAAACCAACCCAGAGCACACACCGCTATCACAGCTGAAGATAAGGGAGGCGTGTGGACTAGCTGAATTAGATGTGTCAGCAATCCAAGAGTAGGTAAATAACCGAGACTAAGCTAACAAACAATCAGCAATAGCGAGAGCCACAACAAGAGTTGTGCACGACGCGTAACACTGCGTTAAAATATCCTGGAGGAGCTTCCTACACAAGCGACGGACAGCGGATGCTGAAAGCTTTTGGAGTGAGCAGGAACCTCGGGAGAGTGTTTGGATGAAGAGGGGAGAAACAAGGAGAAGCGATCACGTAACTACCGTTGTGCTTCATGCATCTGAACGAGAACACACCAGCAGAAATACACAACCTATTCAGCCAGACTTACAAATGAGAACAGACAGAGACTGGGGCACAAAGCAACAATAGTAACGTCCTAAAGGAAGGGAAAGGGACACAGGAACGGGTGCCAGCAGGAGAAAGGACCTCTTTTGCTGAGTGGGCTTCGGCAGAGGAGAACAAAGACATATGCAAAAGCACTTGCAGAAGAATGGGCCAGATTTAGATCAGAGCAAAGAACAGATCCATTCTTTGCGTTTGGATAAATGCAAGAGAAAAAATACATTTAACAGCATCCTAGACTCTTAAAATGATACGATAAGTTTTGAGAATGCACAGTCCTCCAGAAGAGCCAAATACAGGAGTCCAAGAGGAGACAAGATGCGAGGGAATGTTTCAAACGGCTCGTAGGTGAGGAGAACTGTTAAAGAGATTTGTATGGTTTAGCACAGAAACAGCGAAAGTTTAAATATTGAGAAGTAAACAGGGGAAGAGTCACGGTACACAAATGTATGTAGGTGTCCACATGACAATAACCTCATAGCACTGATGGACGTGCAGAAAATTACGAGTAAAGCTGAAGAACTGAACTAAGGACCAGGACGAGAAAAAAAAAGCACCAAAACAAACAAATGCATTCACTACACAACAAAGGACAGAAAAATTAAAAACCCAAGGCAAAGCTACTGCTAAGTGGAAAAAAAAAAATCTCTTGCTTATGTTGAAGGAAACAAATACCGACACAGACATAAAAGGGAAAAAAACCACCAAACACATCAGCATTCAGAAAACGATGCAGTATCTAGAAGGCTGAATAAATTTAGAAGAGAAGAGGCAGCTCTTACGTCCATACTTCCCCATGGACCAAAGTTCCACTGCGTGAGAAACACTGATAAACGCAGGCTGAGCACCAAAATGAACTCCGGGCTCAGGGTGGATACCGAGAGATTCACAGCAAGATTTTGCAATAACAAAGCAGAAAGTGAAACCCAAGAAGACTACAGTCACTCTCGGGACCTACACTAAGACTCTACCCAGAAGGGACACTGTACCTACTGCCGCACAACAGAAGATAAGAAATAGCAATATTAAAAAAAAAAAAAAGGAAGAATGAAGGTATGCAAGACAGAAACAGTGATCAGCAGGACAGAATCACAGGGCTTAAAAGAGAAACGCCTGCTTGATATCGGCGTAATGCAAGCAGTGAAGAGACCTGCGTTATAAGCACTGAACTAAGAGAGCAAGGCAGTCCCGTGGTGGCACCACACTACGAGGAAAGGTGCCGCTGCCCAACCTATTGCCCAAGTACGCAAAACAAAAGGTCTAGATAAATAATTGCGTTTGGTAGCTCACTCCACATCTTCGTATTTTCCCTGTAAAAGAGAGAAAACTTGCTCTGCAGAAATATTTTCACGCTGAGAGTGATAAATAGTTTTCAGGCTTCTGACTTTTTACATTGATATCAAAATATTCAAGGCCTCAGCAAAATTCTCCTGAGCGTTCCCGAGCTCCCACGAGGTCCCAGGGCAGCACAAGTCATTTTGTCCCCCGCTCGCTAAAACCCAGCCCGCACCCCAGCGCTGCGGCGAAGCCCTTGTTTTGCAAGTCATACAAGTACCGGGAAGATCTCCCGGCACCCGGGGGGCGCCGTTAAGAAGTTGTAACGCCTC